ATCTTCAACACTTCCCTCAGAGGTAAGTCATATTCATTTTCTTCTTCAAATTCCCGACAGTGAAATTTTTATAAATGGGAAACGCTAAAACTAAACCCACAATCTTTGCCCACTACAATGCCACATGGAATGATCATTTTGTCTGAATGCTCAAGCTATTAAGAACGGAATGAAGTTATATATTGATACAAATTAGAGTAAAAATTAGTTTTGACGAGATAATAGTACAACTTTCATAGTCTATTCTAGGGTTTACAAGAAACGAAAAATATCATGTCAGCCAGTCCACAAATACAATAAAATAGGAACTATTTTACAGAAGGAAAGAACAGTCAGCAGGTCCTAATTTTACACTCTAGGCTATTGTACATATTTTCCATAGGCTCTGCTAGTGGACCTTTTGCTGGCATATAATAGCAGCTTTTCTACATTTATATTCATATATTTTCAACAGCATAATATCGTAATAACAATGGCCGAATTAAATCACTATACCACAATAAATTTCAATCGAAAGTTAATAATTCTGCAATAATAAAGTTGGAAAAGAAATTAGAAATTTGTTACGGTGTAAAGACATGAAATGTATGTTAAATTATGAAGTACTTGTTTGGATTTGTTTATAAGTTGCTAAAAAAATGATGTGATAGAAATGAATAGTGAATAAATAGGTAGTAGTTGTAGGTCCCTCTGATACTTGAACTCTTCGAACGGATGAGGCACCCGTGTCTACATGACGCGACATGAGTGTGGGTGTGGGATATGTGTTGGATCTTCCAAGTTTCAACCGAACCCTTCGCCGTTTTCACTTCTTTCTTTTCTTCTTTCCCGTTTCTAGTCGCAACAAGCCTAGCACCGTTGCCGAGAGGGTGGAGGAAGGTGACGGCGCTAGGTTTTCCCTTCTTTTTCTTCTTTTTTTCCCCTCATTCCCTCTCTGTATCAATGGTGGGTTTTCTTTCGATAAAATAAAAATGGGTTCCATATAGTGCTTCCATAATCGAAAACTAAACCACAAAATTCTATTTTATTCGTCTTAATATATTATCAATACTGATTTACTTATTTGTGAACAATTGATTTTGGTCCATTTAAAATGACATCTTGGGTTAGTAAAAAAAAATTAAAAAAAATGAAGTTTGAAAGACATACCCATATCCGAAATTTGAAAATTTGGACTCTTTTTAATTATGTCCCCATATCTTATATTTTAGAAACTAAAAGATTTGACATTTAGATACATACCCGTACCCATACCCGGGTTCGAGCATCATAGATGGATCCTACAAAATGTGTGGTCTAAAATTTACCTTTGACCTTCAAATATAAATGTGATTATAATCAAATCCAAACAAGCACAAAATATGTTGGATAATAATAACTGCAGTCCATCGTTATTGCCTACTATTAGTTAATAGATAATGGGCTTCCACAAGTTTGGAGGGAAAGAGTAGAATCAACATCATCATATTGTAGGCTCACTCAGAATAAAGATTTGTGGAGGGGGGAAAACTGTATCCATATCCACAACAAAAAAGAGTTAGTTGTTAGCATCGGAGCATAGTATAAAGTACCTTATCACAGTCTTCTCGATGCAGTATACCCACACAGCCTCCCCAGTCATCTATAATAGGCACAACTGGATCATTAAAGAAACGCATCACCATTTGCTTCAGTTGCAAGGTAGCCTGCAGTGGCCGAGCATCATCAAATGGTGTCATGATGTGCTCGATTGCATCACTAACGGATACCTATATTAGATTATAGACAGACAAGAATATGAATTAGACTTGAGAAAATGAATTGACATTTGAAATTTTAAAAATATCTCTTAATAAGTATGGATGTTAAACTATGTGGGAACGTTATAATATTTTAAGAAAACAATCAAATACCTGAAGAAGTAGGCGAGGGCTCAATAATGATGAGTTTAAACCTAGCAACGCTTCAAGGCGTAGCGCAACCTGCAATGAATGCATGGACTGTATTCAAGGAGCATACTAAATGAAAGAAAGAACCAATCTTACATCAACAGAACCAGATGCTAGGTTTCTAAGAGTAAAGCAACAAAGGAAAGCAATAGAATGAGAAGAAGAGAATAAAAGATACATTAATTCATAAAAAAGGGCTCCAATAATTCTCACAGCACTCTGTAATAGAGTGCGCTCTGCGACTAAATCATTACAGAACACATATTTATTAACAAGGAAGAACTCCAAGAAATAAGTTGGAGCAGCATTTATAACAGATTCTCACATTTCCCTAGCTACATTAGTGTCATATATTATACGTAGATATCCATTTAATTACTCAAATGACAGCTTATTCAGCAAAATTATACATATAACAAGGCATGACATAAAAGTTAAAGGGAAGCTATTGTCATTGGTGTGACATGGTATCTGGTGGAAAACAATGTGGAACTGTAACAGAAAGGCCAAGAATCAGAGACATTCTGGTGCGGAAGCGTTGATAAAATTCTTGTAATAAGAATTGTAATGAAAGAAATAAGAAAACTATATTGGATAACTTGCTTCCTATTGATTTGATAACGAATGAAAATTGTACAATGTGTCCTATATTTATAGGCAAATTATCCCTATTCCAAATAGTATTAAGAGATTGAAATAAGGAAACTATGAAATTAATAAAACTCTAATCTAATTAAAACTTCTAAAAACTATAATCCTAATCAATAACACGAGTCCTATTACAAGAAAACTAAAAACAAATCAAGCTCTTAAAAAATATAAAACATCTTAGTAGTAGGAAATTAATTGTAGTTGTACTACATCAATCCCCTCCACTTGAAGGAAAACTCGCCATCGAGTTTTGTGTTTGCAAGGAAAATTCATCTGGAGGAAAGTATTCGTAGATATCAGCAACACTAAAAGTGTTGAAAATGTTCATATCCGTTGGAAGATCAACTTTATTAGCATTATCGTCAATCTTTTGAAGAATGC